ATACCCCAGAAGTACGCTCGCTGTACTCGCATACCTCTGGTCGTGTAAAGGTCTATGATGAACTAAGTAGGCCTTTCGTCACCAGCAGCGTCGTTCGTCAAGGATACCCTATCGCGCCGTTCTTATTCAATTTTGTCGTAGACGACATACTGAGACTCCAATAAGTGGTCTCCAAAATGTAGATGTTGAATGGACAGATGGAGAAAAACTATGCGATTTAGAGTACGCCGATGATGCCGTCTATCTGTTCGAATGTTTGGAGGACGCACAAAGCGCACTTAATAGACTAATAAGTGCAGTTGCCACATTCGGTATGTGCTTTGCACCTTCGAAGTGCAAGACTGGGTTTCGCCTACTCCCGCTGTGAAACTAAATGATCAAGAATTAGTTACGGTGGATAACTTTTCCTTCTTCGGTAGTTGCGTGATCAATGACGGTAGTGCAGCAAATGAGATAACCGCCCGCATTTCCAAGGCTCAAACAGCATATGAAGGACTGAAACACCTTTGGCGTAAATGCGACGTTTCACTAAAGCTGAAAAGTCGTGTATACTGTGCTGGCGTTTGTTTAGTTCTGCTTTATGGTTGTGAGACCTTGAATTTGCGAGTAGAAGATATCCGTCGACTAGAGGTTTTCGATTATCAGTGTTTACGTAGTTTAGCCCATGTGGAATGCAGCGAACGGGTTAGTAGCGTGGAGGTAAGCCGCCGTGTGTTTGGGAGTCTATCAGGGCTAAACCTGCTAGCTCACCGAATTCAGTTTGGTGGACTTCGCTGGTTAGGGCATGTATTGCGTATGCCCAGCCGTCGTCTGCTGCACCGCGCTTGATTCGATGTAGCTAATCCGGGCTGGAAGGAACTGTGTGGAGGTCAACGGATGACGTGGAGACGAGGCATGAAGAATTGCACAGAGCCATTAGGTAGAGTAGGTGTCTCCAGCCTTCCAGGTTGGGGTCCGAAAGACTCTACAACCGGTTGGTTGGAGATATTGAAGGATATGGCAGCAAACCGACAACAGTGGCGTTCTTCTTGTCATTTCTTATCAGGCNCGGATTGGCTGGAGATATTGAAGGATATGGCAGCAAACCGACAACAGTGGCGTTCTTCTTGTCATTTCTTATCAGGCCAGAATGCTTGAAACCTTATGTATGCAGAGTTCGATTGTGCTCTGTGTTAACCATATTGATTCACCTTCTTCGCCCTCCCTCAAAGTAGGTCCAATCCCTCTCCACCTTTAATTTTACCACTAATCTTGTATGTATTGTGAGTTTGGCAGCGATCAGTGAAGTTCGTTTCACTGTATTTCGCTGTACAGTGATGATGATGATGATGACAATTTATTCATGGAGGCATATCAGCGCTTTCCAATGACACTTGTAATTTTTATGACTGGGGGACTGGAAGCGAAAAGCGTGACACTCTCGGCTATGTATGATGTTAAATCATTTCATGTTATCTACTCTGAAGAGACTCCCAGTGGCTGGGAATCACCGAGGCGATGCAGATGTATTCCTGTCCAGTTAATATCGATTCCGTGTTTTGAGCATTTCGCTTCTATTAAGGAGCAGGGAATTGAGTCAGACTGATTTCTGGAGACCACTTTCTACTTTTAGATGAGTTACCGTCACGTGAGGATAAGTTGGTTCATGGGAAGCTCGAGGACCTCAGTTCAGTTTGGTCCACTTTTTACGACCATTAACCATGCATTTTCATGCGCTGACTTTCGTTGCTGTCTTTTGGATTGGGATATCCCCCACGTCCGTTCGGGCTTTTTCTTCGAAGGTGCTCTTCAAATCTTGGCACAGCCTGGGGAACTTGGTGATATTTTTTTCGTTTTATTTCACCGCGGGCCAAATTGGCACGTTATTACTGTCTATGGGTATCGAGAATTTTTTTTTACAGAAATCATTTATTCACATATTCATGGTTAACTATCTAATCACATCCATATCCGCAAATTCGTCGCGCTCTTTTTTATTACACNGTGAGGACAGGGTGGACCTTATAGTCGTGAAGACAAGCTGCTCAGTGATGGGAACCGGTAACCCGAGCCCCGGGACTTGGAATAGCAAGCCGCATAAAGGCTCGTTATGTAACACTTATTATTGAGCCAGACAATAGCAAAGTGGCCCATCGTAGCGTCTGTCTCCTAACTGCAGAATGATAGCAGTATATTTTTTCTAAGGCTCAGGCTAAACACTAAGTAGTGAAGTAGAAGCCTTACTAAAAGTCATTCAGATATCTGTAGTGTTTCTAATATTTTATCGCTCATTCAAGTCCATTCATTCATTCATTCATTTTCATTTGTAGCTTGATGAGTCTGATTGCTTTCATTTATTTCCTTCGTTATCCAATTCATGTGTATTATCCACTCGTCCTATCGCCCTTCATTCAACGTTGTTCAAGCATTTAAACGTCATCCGGAATCGTACGCTGTAACCCAATTCGTGGCACGCATCACAGACTGGCCAGACACTAGTCTGCTACCTCGTGGGTAGGTCCTCTGGTGTCGTATTGCTTGTTGTTTGTCCGTAGTGACTCGTTCTCAGTTCTGGTCAGGGGGTGCTTTTAACTATTCTATTAAAAGATATTATTATATTCAATTTCACACTTGTATGGGTCCAGATCTAGTTGAAGACAAATCATGATTCAAGCACCTTAATGACTATGAGATGCATCCTTGATTGCCCTGATGAAGTGATAGTGTCGTGTCGCCCTGGCTACATCAGGCAAGTTTTCTCGGTTCACAAACGGATTCTTCTGCTGCTCAAAACCTGATTAACGAGATAACCGCTTGTTGTGAAGACCGTGTGCAATTCACTGGTATTCGTTATCCATCTAAGGCTGTTCGTCAACAACACTTAGCAACAGCTGAGACAGTAGCCATCCGTCTGTTTAACCGATCGCTTTGTTCCTAAAAACGATTCATTAAAACACTTCAACTGCCGTGTCCACGGAGTGAGTTCAGTCGCATAACTGGAGCTAACTCTTTTTCATGACTTCTTGACTCTTTCGATTAACCCCGTGCCCCAAACAGGTGATGGTTAACCTTAACTCGGTCCTAACCCTATTGTGACACGTCCCTATTCCCATCCACCCACCACTCCATTTTTGTTTGTAAACCACACAACTATTTTTAGCTACCAATCCAATCCACACACATATCAAACGTTATGCAAACGTTCGGGTAAACAGATCTTTCATTCCCGAGACGCGGTTACCCATTCGCCCAAACGAGAGGATGAATTTCTTCGCCGAGATCTTCTGGATCCAGTTTATGCGTCTTTTCTTTGGTTACGAATCAAAGCAGAGTGCTACCGTTTTTTAACATATTAAATCTCACAATTTGTATGGCGTTGAAATTTCGCGTGTTCCATCCAACTCCAGTGGTCACCATGTATCCAAACGACATAGCATTTATTGTGAAAATGATAAGGGGAACACTTCCAACTATTCAAAATATGGAATTTGTTACATACAGTCCCATAGAAGTTAATGTAGACGAATGGGCTACTCTTCTATTTTCTTGTTTTTTTGATATTGATAGATATTCAATTTTTCTTGGGATGCATCCAATTTGGTTTTCGTCAATACCGATTGCTATGTTCCTGTTCAATCCAACGTCTTATCCCTTTTCCTTTCCAGAGAGCTTCTACGCAATCTCTCGACCGATTCATCCAAATTATTAGAAACTGAGACGGAACGTATCCTAGTAAACACGGGTTTCACGTTGGGATTGAACAATGTAAACTACTTTCCGGATTCGGTAGTCCAATCGGTCCAATCGGCTGTTGTTGCGGCTGAGGCGAATCTGTCTCGTGAGATAGCGTTACGACGAGATCTGCGTTCTCAGTGCACCATTACAATCGATCCAAGCACAGCTCGTGATCTGGACGATGCGTTGCATTGTCGCATCCTTGGTAAGGATGAGCGCGAGAAGTTGACCACTCAGGGCTATCCGGACGCCTTTTATGAAGTACGTCTATGACTGTACCTGCGTTCTGCGTGTTGTTTTCTATCCCTTGCTGGTGTTCATTTGATCTTTTACGTTGTGTCATTATTTTTCTCATCTTCAAACCTTATCTTTATCGACATATCTCCCACTGGAGATTATTGCGACCACTTATTGTTGCTATTATAGTTATTAATATAACCTTTTCGATTATCATGAATTAGGATAGTAGTCTGAACAGCCAATACTTTTTACTGCTTCAATTGTTTTCTGAAACCAGTCGTATGTTCCGCGAAATGAAGCATAACTGAGCTCGAAAGGGACCTACTGAATAGCAGCATCAATATAAATGGTCTTTTTGTTAGCATTTTGATAGTTGCAATGCATCTTCATGGGTAAAATTCATTGTACCGCCACATCCCGTTTGTGATTTATGCACTTGGGCGAGAGAAGCCACATAGAAATCAATAGAGGAAAAATGTAGGTGTATACTGATCTGCACAAAGATTGAAAAGAAAAAACATCTCACATATTTCAGGCTGCGTTTAAAAGACCCCGAAACGGGTGTTTATGCCAAACGGAAGTAGAATAGGCCTCCAGGAGGACAACCGACGATATGGAGAGGGGCGTGAAAACGTTTACAGCCCACTCAACCCGGGAAGGGCCACAGGCTAAACCCAGAAGGATTCTGAATTTCACTAGTTGCAGACCGTCCGATAGGCCCGCAGCCGAATCCAGTGGATTAACTACTGTAATTACAATTGCATTAGTTCATCTTTATATTCGATCCTCATGCGGCATTCAAACAAAATACTTTCATGTGCAGTAGAGCTGTCCAAACAAGTTTACTCGATGTTGCAAATGAAACTGTTGTGACGAATATAGCTAACTATATATATATTCTGATACTGAGGAGCGGAAATTAACCGCGCATTCTCTCGCGAAATCGTGGATTTGACGGTAAATTATTGCTTTAAGATTGGACTGTTTGGAACGCATCAAACCACTAATTCGATGGAAAGCCTATGAAGCGTCAATAAAGTTATCAAACACTCGAAATGGACGCACCGTACCCCGGTAAAACGACTGTACATGTGTGATCCCAAACAAAGCGACAATGATCGGTATTTTGAGCCTGATTCCGATCAGCTGCACACTTGTGTTTCTCAGTGACTTGAATAATGAAAAATAGAAACAATTTAGGATGCATCATAAAACGAATAGGAAGACATTTTGGTAGGAGTTGTGGGGTTGCCTTTTTTGTTATTGTTTTTTTTGTCTTTTTTCTAGTGGCTGTATATATATCTTTGATTCTGGGAAGCGAAAGTCAAACGCACATTCGGTCTCTGTTACAATAGCAAATAGATACGAACCTCGGTTATGGCGGTCTTAACCATAATAATAATAGATTAGATCCCGAAAGAACGTTCAGAATGTAACTGCAGTAAGGGAAAGCGTAACAGTGACATTGGTGGCTGTTTTTCGTTTGTGCACGCAAAGCCACAGTACACTCAGCAATGTATCTATCAAAGCACTAGATGCACTTTATTTCCGCCATGCAATACGCACCAAACATTGACCCAGGCAATTTCATTTTGTTTGATTTTACTTTGCTTCTCTACGTCTTGCTTTAATTCGTTTTCTGCTTGGTCATGGAGATAAACTGAAGTATTGGTAAACACTCACGATTAGTTTGCTAATGGTTAGGGCTGACTGTATTCTGGATCACGCATCATCAGATTATTCACATGCACAATGAATTATTAATTTTTATCATGCCTGTTCTGCTCAACTTTATCCACACTCACGCCAACCAAATGTACCTAAAAGCCACACCCAGTGACATATGCCGCTCGCATTCAGTCACATGTATCCTCCGTGCTAGATCCATCTTCAATGTGTCTGTATTTACACCGAGTATTGGGTCAAAAGGTCCCAACTATATTAAACAAATTCTTCTTTGTTGTAACTGTTTGTCACAGGAGTCAGGGAAATGTTTTAAAGGAATCAGAAAAATTACTTTCCATGAATTGTGATTGAAAAGGGATTGTCCTTCAACACCGCTGCGCTGNCTCCTTTCCCCCTACCCTCTCTCAATATCCCTAGGTGGGCATACATATTGCTGATGTATCCTACTTTGTGCGATCCGATTCCGCTGTTGATCTGGAGGCGGCCCAGCGTTCAACCACCATTTACCTAGTACAACTCTGTGTTCCAATGCTACCCCGACTTTTGTGTGAGCAGTTATGCAGTTTGAATGTGGGCGAGGATAAACTGGCCTTCTCGGCTATTTTCACTGTATCTCAGGAAGGCGAGGTAAGTAGTTCAGATTGTGTGGGTTTTTTTTATGTACATGTGAATGCGTGACCGTAGTATTGATTGCATTTTCAACAATCTCGCATATGACGACGCGTCGTTGTATGTGTAGTGAAATATCTGTGCTGTTTCAAATCGCTCTGTACTTTTGGCTGCTAGTTTGACAAACTTTCTATTTTGTTGCAAATTATTCGTTACTGAAGGCAAAAAGGACCGTA